AAACTATCACAGAGGCTGTTTGACACTGGATTTCATAAACGTGATGCCCATAGGCAGCTGGGGCTAAGAGTGACACCAACATGTGGACCTATTTCGGGACTGATATGAGTCTAATGTTTTCCATCCAGACACATGACCTCTGTTGACTTCGATGGACGATAAATTTGTGAGCCGATCTTAGGAGCCACTGTTCTTTTACTCCCTGTTGAAGGAGGTTTCGGTGTTCTGGGGCCTGATGGCATGTATGAACTTTGGGACCTGAAGTGTTTTGGTGGGTTTAAATCCAAAAGCCCTCAGGTTCTTGAAAGGTTCAGATGGAAGATTATTCTATCTGTGCCTTGAAAGGTAGAATAAAGAGAACTGAAATACGCTTGTAACATATGACCTGTGACCCTAGGGGAACAGAGGACCTTTTGCCAAGTTTCTTGCACATTTCCTTAAAAGCAACCTGGGCAGAAAGTGAGAAAAACAGGTCCGTTCTAATGAGCACCTAATGGGTAGAAGCACCAGAGATTTATTTTGTGAAGGCTTCAAAAAATGGCTGAGGTCTTTAACCACTAAGCTTCCAGAAAATGTGTGCCCTTATTAAGTATCAGCAGAATAACCGGCCAGTGTTTGAGAATCATGAATGTGGCCTTTTGACTTCCAAATTATACGAGGATATTTTCCTTGACCTCCCCTTATTACAGATCCGTAAAAACGACACTGCTTTGTTCAGGCAACTCAGGACACATGGTGCTGCATGCTTCTGTGGAAACACATCCCACATGAAATTAAGTTAGAGGTGGTATTTGAAAAATAAATAAATAACGAAGTTCCAATTCACTGCAAATGGTACAGGAGGCCAGTAAGTGGGAAGGCTGCAAGAAAAGGACTTCTTTTTAGAAAGATGTTTTACAGGACTTTTTCTGCATCATTAACTCTTCTGGAATCCTGAACATAGCATGATGAATTTCCCTAAAGAAGTAGCTACTGTTTAATTTTGAATCACTTCAAAGAGCCACAGCAGAAGAAATCAAAGAAAACCAAAAAGACCAGGAGATGTGAAATTCGCCAAGGGGGGGAAAAAAAACCCATGAAGGTTCTAACAGATTTTGACCATGTACTGAAAATACCAATGATTATTTTGCTACTACATACAGTGTTTTACTGTTCCATGTGACTGAAATAAGCCTCTGTATTCATAGGAACACAGGATATTTTTATTACAATATTTGTGTCATAGCTCTTTAAAAGGGAACATATTTTAAAACCTTGAAAAGAATCTCTGTCTTAAAATGGTTCTTGATATTATATGTGAGTGTGTGTGTTTTACTATAAACAGATACTTCATTGGGAGGTCACACTGCTGAAGAAAGTACAAAAGTACTGATAGTCTTACTCCTATCCCCAACATGTAGTTTTTAGAAGAAAAATGTAATTAAAAAAAAAAAAACAAGCAAAGCAATTTGGAGGGTGGAGAAAAATAAGAAAGTTGGCTGGGATACTATAATGGTTGTTTAACTTTAATAATAATAATAATAATTGGTCTTCAAAAATGCCTCGTGCAAAACCTACCCAAGGGAAAAGAAAGAAAACCTCCTAAAAATTCCGTATCCCCAAATACCACTAACATCAAAAACCATATGGAAAATGTCTCATAATGGTATCCACCCACCTAAGAAATTCAGTAAACTTTGTCTTCAATTACCGTTTAGAATATTCAACTCAAATTGAAATTCCAATTTGAAAACCCTGAGAAGACAAAGCTGGATTAGAAATAAAAGTTTTCAGTCTCCTTAAAAGACCATCTGTTTATAGACACCCTTCTCATACCCCACCTTGCCTTTGATCTGTATGTTAAGTCACAGTCGCAGCACAGCTGAATTTAAAGACATACACACACTGCTGCTATGAAGTCTAGTTACCACATATATGTTCTGAACTTGAATCAAGTTTCCCTCAGGGGCAATAAAATTTCACTAACATCCAGCAGCATTGTGAGTTTCAAAACATTAGTCTACCTGACTGTACAATCCTTTTATTGGCAGTGGAGAGCACGGGTGTTTTATTGATGTGGACTGTATTGTCAGTGCTCTATGGAAGAACCATTTAGCAGCCTATTAGCCTGTAACATTTTTATTACTGTTGTTAAATATCATTCCCCATACTGAACTCTGTATTAGAAAAAGCCAAGCTCGAAAATCTAAATATCCAGAAAAACTGCAGAGCTGTTGGCTTCCTGCTCCCCCCCCTCACTTCGCACCCCCCCCACACACACACACACATACACACATAATCTGTTGACTCTGATGAGAAGGAAAACAATGAGTATTCACTTCTTGCAGACAGAGGTCACTAATGGACTGAATTCAAATCACCGTGGCAGTAACCACAGAGTTATTAAAGTAATCTAGTGAGAAATGAACGCGAATTGAAATTAAAGATACCAAAAGATGATTATCCAGGAAGGTTTGACCTGAATAGAAATAAAATGACATCACCTTGACCTTTTCAGAATCTTCGAAATGGAGAGCAAAACCAAGAGCCACCGTCACCTTTGCTGTTTTTTAACTTCGGTAGAAGCAGCAATTCTTCCTTGCAGAATACAAAGCTGAAGAGACAAACTAGATCAGATGTTCACACTGGGTCTCTACAGATTAAGGCTTCTGGACTTGTACATATTTGAGCCTTTCTTGAAACCACAGTCTCAAACTGGGAAGATATAAGGTTTCTTTAGAAAGATATGTCTAAATCCTAAATCAAGCTCTCCAACAGGCCAGAATATAAATGTAACAGGCATCAGAGGAGTTTCAAATTAGATCCAGCCTGTTAAAATCAAACTCCGGTAAGATCACATCATTTGAAATTTAACATACAGGAAAAACCATGACAGTGTTAGGGACCCCAAGGTGCCCAGCATGGAGTCATTTGGGAATGGACTTTATTCTGTTAAAAGCATCCCCTGGATTTTCTAAACCCCCAATGAAATTACTGAAGTGTTAAGACATGGGCATTAAAAAACAAAACAACAACAAAAAACAAAAAAACAACAGCATTCCTTCCATGTTACATGCTAGCTTTATAATACGTTCTGCTACAGTACAGCCAGCCCAATTCTTTTTACAATTTCTTGTACCTACTGGCAGAGACAGGGAATCATGTTTGAAATTCCATCTTCCAACCTCCTCCAGTCACAGATATTTGCAACTCAACATGACAGTATGGTATCAACTGTCAATTGTGATTATTAAAAATCCTAAATGGTTTAACCCTATCCTGTTTGGGGCCTTTGAGGAGGGGAGGACCAAAAGTTGCATTTGGGGGAGCAATAACGTTGTAAAAAAATAAGCAACTTTTCATGGTGTGGGTATTGCCCAATGATATTGTCTTCTAATATGGTTCACTGTCGACCTTATCAATCTGACGCATGTTGCTTAGTGATTTAAAAAAATAAAGTCCAGTTCTAACACTTTGGATATTGACCTAAAATTATACATTCATACTGCAACCACCACATATATCCCTGGACAAATACCAAGCTGCATTCTATTTACCTCAAAATGTTTGGGGGATCCTTTCACTGGAGATTTAATAAGGTCATACCGTTTATGTCTACAGACAATATCTTCCCGATATGGAAGTTAGCCTTCATATTAGCTTTTGGCTGGGAGAAAAGTTAGACATAATAAATTTAGCAATATGCCTGAGAGCAAGTGGACATGCCCCAAAGCTCCCTGAAACTCTGGGTGATGAAAGAGCCTCCCAGCTGAGTGGGGAGCAATAGTTCCCACTTAGAAGAGGCTTTGCATAGCAAATGCAGCATGCAAAGAAATCTAATCAGCACCTTGCACTCCTGCGCAAGCATTTACACGGATTTGTGCCTTGCACTTGATTAGCTTACTGTAAGCTTTACAAGAGAATCCCTCCACTAAAATTAATCAGAAGCTCTTGGAGATTGATTTCCATTTACAAGAAAGCACTATGAGTTTCCAGGTGAATAAATAATGATCATGATAAAGATGATAGCAGCAAACGTTGAGCTGCTTGGAAACCCAAAAAGTCGACTGGGGGAGAGGGGACGTTGGCGAGTTGGGGCTGGAATCTTTTCGCTCTCGGAGTGAAAAGCAGGAGCTCTTTTCTTAGTTTGCCTAACTAAGACTGCTGTTCCGGAAACCGGAGCTGCTTCTCCGCGCTGCCGGCTCCTCAGTGCACACATGCGACCACTCACCGCCCCCGCACTACGGTGCATCAGGCCACCGAGGAAAAACCGGCCTCTCTGCAACACCATTACCACCCCCCAACCCCACGCACGCGCGCGCGCGCGCGCACGCACACACACACACACACACAAACACACACGGACAAGCGTTGCAAATTCACATCACCGATGGTTAGTTAGCGCGTTTCATCTCACCCTTCAATCAAAATGTGAATTCCAAAGTTCCTATTTTATACGCCATAAGGTGAATGAAGGGGGGAGGGAGGGCACCAGGGATGTCAAAACGGGGAAGGATAACGTCCCCCCTCTACTTTGAAATTTTCACGCACACCTCCCCCGCCCTCCATTTGCTTTCCTGCGCCAGCGGAACGCGGAGGGCGAATGCGAGTGGGTTCGTGTAATAATTTTTAAAAGATGCTATATAAGGGTAAAAGGGTGAGGGTGGGAGAGAGTGAAATCCATGCCTTAGTCCCCTGGATTGAAGAATACTAAAAGCCCCTGAACCCACATTCTAAATTTCCAACGGGCTACAAGAGGAGGCACCAGCTGGGGCCGCGGGTTAGCATCCATTCCCAGGAGGGATTCGCTGCCTCGCACAGCTGCCCCTGGTTCTCAGAGAAGCGCCACGGGCCCCTCGAACGTTACGGTGGATCTCACGGCGCTAGGTGCCTGTCCCCGGGATCTTGAACTTCGCCTCCCTCTCACTTTCAGCCAGAACTGGAGAGCGTCACGAATGGCGCTGGGGGGGAGCACGAGCCCAGCGGAGGGGCTAGAAGGAGAAGGTTGGGGTGCCTGTTACCTGCGAAGGTTCTCGAGGTCTCCTTCCAGCCCCGGAGGTAATCCCGCTCAGCGCCGCGTCCTCCCCCAAATCCAAACTTTTGCTCGGTCCTCCGGGGGGGCGGGGGCGGCGACGGTGGCTGCTGCCGGAGCCCGGCCCTGTCGCCCGCTGCGTCGGGGCGCGGAGGTGCGGAGGCCGAAGCCTCAGAGCGGCGCGCGCCTCCCGGTAGCCGGCCGGTGCCCGGGCGCCCCGCTTGCCTCTCTCGCTCTCGCCTTTCTCCCCTACGGAGTCGCGGCATCGTCTTCCCCAGTCCTCCGCCGCCTCCGCCTGCAGGATTCGAGCATGCCACTTTCTCTCGGCTCCGGCCGCCGCGGCCCCCGCCTCTCCTCCTCTGCCTCCCCCTCTCCGCCTCGGCCACGCCAAGTCCCGAAAGGCGGGCGGGCGGGCGGGCGAGCGAGGAAGGCGGCGGAAAGCGGCCCCGCAGCGCCGGGGCTCCTCGGAGACGGAGGACCCCAGGGGGCGTCTGGAGAGCCGCGCGGGTGCGCCTCCGACGCCGGGGTGCCCACCTCGCGGAGCCCTGCGCAGGACTCGCTCGAGTGCTGCGCGGGCTCCGCGTGGATCGGGAGGCTGCTCAGACCTCACTGCTGCCTGGATCCGACGCGGCCCGGCTAATGTAGGCTCCGCGGCCCCCACCCCCACCCTCCTGACACCCCCGGGAGATGTTTACAGTAATGAATTCGCGGGATCGCCTCCGCCGCTCCCGCGCCCCCCTCTCCCCTGGTGCCTCGCGCTCTGGCGCGCTCCCCACCTCTAGCCCTCTTTCTCTCCCTCCCTGGCTGACTCCCTCCCTCTCGGAGTCCCTCCCACATTTCTGGTTTAAAGAATGCTTGGGAGGCGCGGCCGCAACCCAAAGCTTTCCAAGAGGCGAAGTCAGACTTGGCTCTTAACCCTGTCCTCCCTGAAGCGAGTTGCCGAGCGCGGGGCTCACACCGCGGATGACATCGAGACCATGCCTGCCCCCTCCGCTCTCTGTACCCTGCACCATCTCACCCGCTCCCCAGTCCTAGGGATCATGCCACCCTCTGAACGCAGAAAGACGATTCCCGCCCCCCTTCCCACGTGCCATTGTACTTCCAACATCTATTACTTAGACACTAAGAAATGATCGAAACGTGAGATTAGAGGGTAAAAATATTACGAGTCTCAACCAAGATGGCGTTATTTCAAATGCAAGCAACCTTAGTGGTTTGCCCCCCACCCCATCACTAGCTCCCAGACCTTCTTAAATAACTCTACTTGGAAATATAATCCAAAATTCAATATGATTATTTTAAACACCCCATTTTTCTCCCTTCACGCTGGCCGCTGGAAAGAGCGTTGTTCACTTTCCCTATAGATTACAACGGACGACCAAATTCAGCCTCAAAGATTTAGGAAACAGGCTTGACAGCTAAAGAAGCCTGATTTGAGTACAGGCAACCGTTTTCACTTCCCAATCTCTTTGCAAAGGTGAAAAAGTAATGAAAGAAAACCAGGTGCATGTCTCTTGGGGCGGGGGGAAGGGTCTGGTTTTCTCCTCTAATTTCATTGCCGCAGCTCCTGCCTCCAGTAAGTTGCTGTCGTGTTCTAACTAGTCTGTACAGAGGCCGACTCTGAACAGAAGAGGGAGAGCGAGCTCGCGCCAAGTGCTGGGCTGTGCTGAGGTGCGCTGGCGGGGAGGGCAGGCCAGAAGCACCCCGCAGCTTGAAACAACTAGCTCAGGACCAACTCCCGAGGGATCCGCTGGGATAGCGCCGCAGAAGAGTGGAGCCGGGGCAGTGGCCACAACCAGCTGGCTAGGGATGATTTCCGGGTCCTCAGTTCAAAGCCTGAGTCACTTGGAACCACTTTCCCAATTGTTTTTATTTCCTTCATGTCCCTGTTGAGTCTATGGTCTTCACTCACTTGAGCTTCTAAATCCTGTTAAAACGTCTTGGAGAAACGCCCGTTTTGCCTCCCAGGCACAAGCCATGCACAGATCCACCCAGACGCACACCCGAGAGGCACGCTGGCACACACGCAGGCACGACCCGGACAAATAATGCATAAGGTAAAGATGGCTAGGAAAACGCTTTGACTGACATATACATAGCCACTCTTCTCCCTAAGCTCCGTGTGTGACTAATACCCAGAGGGAGGGGGCACGTGGCTGGGGGAGTTAATTGGACTAGGACAGAGAGTGCCATCTTGTTAAGAGGTTCCAGGAGCGAGACACCAGCGACAGCAGTGGTGGCCTCCGCCTCCAGCAGCAGCGGCCGCCAGCCGGAGCCCCACGCGCTCCGGGAATTTCCCGGGCATCAAGTGTGGGTCCAGCCCGCCCCAGCCACCCTCTTTCCTGATACTTCCTTTCCCCGGTTACTGCTCAGACTTCAACCTTGATCTTGCCCCGGGTTACAAAGGAGAAGTGACCGCGCCGGCGCTAAAAGCTCCGGGACCAGCCAGAACTGGTGAGCGCGGTGGAGAGATCTTTACAGCCGGCTCCGAGCCCGCGGGGACGAAGTGGCAGCTGGCGAGGCTCCCGCCCTCCTCACCGTCGCCTTGCCCCGCCCCCCTGCCTGGAGGTGTTAACCGCCCCCTCCCTGCATCCCAGGCATGCAGCGGAGGGAACGCAATCTGTTTTCAGCCTGGTGTGCTGCGGCCGTCCTCACCGCCCCCGCCGGTGCGCGGAGAGGACGCGCTGGTCCTAGCTCAGTACCAGGCCACTGATGACCAGACTGGCTGGAGAACGACTTGGTTTGGGAGAAAGTAATCTCCTCCCTAACTCGAAGGAAAACGAATTAGCACCCCCGCATCTTTTTAGCCACTAATCGATCCCGGATTGCGGGCAGGGGGCGTGCTGGTGGTTTTAGACGCCAGCTCTTGATAATAACGCTGGTGATATTAACAGCAGATGGAGTGGGCTCGGGCTGGGGACGTAGGGACGATGTTACTCTTGGAAGTTAACAGATTCATTCTTGGGATGTAAGAGGCTGGATTCGGGCAAGTTTCGTGGCTCTAGAAACTTAATTTAGGATGACGCTCCCAGCAGGCTAGCAAATTTGCGTTTTGACTCAGAGCTCAGTGACAAAACTCCTTAGAGAAAGTGGATTCGACCTGCAAATAGACCTCCCTAAAGTCGGGGGAGAGTTAAGCAGCCTATTTTCTCTCTGGATGAAAGATTAAGACTAAAACATCCCACCACCCGATGATCGTCCCTGCTGGTTAACGACCCCACCCCCCACCCCCCAAAGTAACCGCGTGGTGCTCGCGTAGTGGCAGCTACTAGAAACTCCACCTGGCACCACAGCCCCTTTACCTGGCGGCGTGTCTCCTTGCAATGGGCTCATCCAAATCCGACAGGGTCAGGGAGGTGGAAAGGGAAAAAGCTGGCGCGGCAGCAGCGGGGCTCCCGGGGCATGGTATTGTTTTAGGGGTCGCCGCCGAGGTCCCTCCTGCCCATCGTTGAGAACTGCCAACTTGGTCCCGGAGCTGGGTGGACACGGTGGCAGCCCTGGAGCAGCCGCCTCGCTGCTGCTTGACAACCGGGACCGAGGGCCAGAGACGCACCCCACGCGGTAGCTGCTCGGCTCCTCCGCGCGGCGATTTCGGCTACTGATGTTATCTCCCAGCGCTCAGTTCCTCTGTGCTGACAATGGAAGATGCCAAAATCGCAAGTGACGGCGACAGGTTTCGAACGTACAACTAACTACAAGGTACCCTGCTCGAGACTGTAAGCTACTTTCCCCCTCCCCCTCATCTCCCTCCTACAGGGGAGGGAACTAACTTAACCCTGTGTGCGCCCTACACTCCCTGGAGAAGCTGGAATCGACTAGGAAACCGCAGGCAGCGGCTCCCGGGGCGAGAGCTTTGTTCACGTGCGTTTCCAGTGGGTGTGTTGCTGTCTGGGGGCACTCGCGTGGCAAGACGCCAGTGGCAGGCTTCCAGCGCCAGACTCCGGCACGGGAAGGAGCCCTAGCATTTCATCCGGACCAGACCCAGCCCTCGCTCAGAATCTATTTTTTGCCTCCAGTTACCAGATTTGTTGAAGTTGCCAGGGAAGTTGGGGTTTATTCCTTTATTTCTTCCCCCCCTTCCTGTCCCCCGTATTATTATTTCCTTTCCTAGCAGCTCTGTGAATATGTGGAACTCTCTGCTTGTTCTAACTCTAGCTTTTAACTGTTGTGCCTGTGTAGGAGACCAACTGGGTAAGGAACCCACCCACGCCAAATGTAAACGAAATGGCAAGGAAAGCAGTCTCCCACCCGTGCACCCAGGGCCCGCATAAGCCAAATGACCACGTGTTCAAATAAGACTAAAACACAGGAAAACGGAGAGGGGTCAGGTCTGAGGGAGTTTGAGATGTTAATAGGGAGACAGAAAGGTGGGGGGAGAGGGGGGCCCAGAGCCTTAGAATGACATAAACAGGGGAACCACAAACACGAATGACGATGCAGAAAATGTACGCGTTTCAACAGTGAAAACAGCAGGTCAGCTTTAAGCGCCTAGATTTTGATTGGCATTATTTCCCCGGCTCCTTTGGGAGCTGTTAAAAAAAAAAAGAGAGAGACAGAGAGAATACAGGAGCGGCCACCTCTGCCACCCAGATGCCTTGCATTTTGTAGCAGCTTCGTCTAAGTGCTCTGGGCTCCCAAGAAGTTAACTGGAGTTGGAGATGAGCCTTTTCGAGGATGCGGATGTAAGTAAGTTTAGACAAGAGAAAACTGAACTGACAGCAGAACGCTTTAGCCATCACCGTCACACCCAAATGAGCCAAGAGCGTCCGTCGCCCAGAGCGCGCAAACTCAGACGTCTTCAACCATCCCTTCTTTCTCCAGAGGAAGAAAGAAAAGAAGAAATACTGAGCCTTTAATAATAAATCAGAGAGTAACACGTGGATCTTGCAGAAACTGAGTTATTTCAAAAAGAGAAAATGTGTTTCTCCACGAGAAAGATGTTCTTCTAATTTCTCTCTGCAACATACCCAAGCCAATGAGAATCTGCAATTGCCATTTCCAAAGCCTCCCCAGCCAGGCCAGCCCACAGAGGCTGCGGGGAAGCTGATTCCAGCCGGCCGGTGCAGAATTCCGTTGTAAATCCTTCTAGTTTGCCAAGGGGGCAGCAAAGCATAGGGATAGCTTGTCAGGCTGCAGAATCAACACGAAAGACCACATTTGAGGACAAATACTCATCTACCTGGTTTTAAACATCCATCTTCCTGTGTGGTGTCAGTTACATAAGTATCCACATGACACCTTTGATACCTTGATATAAGATAGCAGTATAATTATGTCATCTTTAAGAATACGTTTTTTATTAAAGGCAAAACAGAACCCTGTACAGGTTTAACTTTCTGATTTATGCTCCCGGAAAAATGAAGAAGACTGAAAAAGGAAGAGGGGATGGTTGCAGATGTACAGAATTTGCATTTTATCAGTGCTGTTTCCAAATGATAAGAAAACAGTGTCGTGTGGATGTGCTCCCTCTTCAAGACTGTTGGTGAGATTATTGTAATCAGGACAAGGAAAATTAAGTATGGGACAATATCACACCAAATGTATGAACGTAATCTCTGTAACAAATTTCTTATCCACATGATCTATGAGTCAGCTTTAGAAATACGTGATGATGGGGTCAAAGAAAGCAAAGGAATAGTAAATGGGGTTCCAGGGCTCCAAAGTACAATAATTTTTCAGACTCACAAAACTGTGATCCTAAGGTTATTTTCACTGAGAAATTACCACCAATCCATAGGGTTAGGGTCGTATAGAGACAGAAAACAAACCTGTGAGCTTCAAAAAACAGAAAGTCAGCTCATTAGTTATTCTTAGGCCTTCAATCCTCAATGGGGTTTTCATTTCAATTGAAATTTGACTGCCCTTTCAAATCCTTTAACACGCTCTCTCCATGTTTCTTGTACCCTCCCCCATCTGCACACGCACACTGTACATTGATTGGCCTGTCTTTCTACTACTTGGTGAAAGGGAAAAATAACACGGGATCCTGAATCACAAGATCATTCTTTAAGCCCAAGGCTCTGAAAATTTTGATCTTGGATAAGTTCAGTTTTGAGCCACTATTGGCTCATTTATAAACTGGGCATAAAGATTCCTGTTCGACCAGCCTCATAATGTTGTCACATAATGAGTCAGTGTATGTGAACGTGCTTTAGAATTCTGAGTTGTTGTTGCTAACGATATTATCTTTGCATCACACAGTCCCAGCAGCAGCCAGCCTTCAAAACAGAGGAAAATTGCATCATAAATCTGAACAGAGTCCATTTCCCCTAAAGTTATCACATTACCTTGGAACGCTTATCAAAAGGAAGAAACCAACACTGATACATTGCTATTAACTACACTCCAGAATTTATTCATACTTTATCAGTTTTTTTACAATAAACATCCTTGTTTCTGGTTCAGGATCCCACCTAGGATACTGCATTGGCTTTAGGGAGTGTATCACCTGTGCTCTGTGATAGGTCCTCAGTCTTTTTGTGCTTTTTATGACCCTGAGGTGTAATGGTCAAGTATTTTGTCTCTCGATTTTGGTTTGTCTGGTGTTTTCTCATGATTGAACACTAATTATGGGTCTGGGGAAATAATGCCGTGGAGGTGTAGTGTGTTCTCATCACATCATGCAGGCGGTCCAGGATGTCAGCGTGACCTCAGCACTCTCTAAGGTATTGTGTGCAGGGTTTCTCCCCTGTCAAGTTATTTGTCCTTTTCCATACTCTATTTTTTGGAAGTAAATCACTAAACCCTGCCCACCCTCGTGAATTTAGAATTTTTAAATGAGCCGAATAAGCAGTTAGTGCAATTTGTAAACGCCACCCCACCTCACCCCAGATATCAAATTCACCCAGGAATAATCTCCCAGGAAATTTCTCCTGTACGATCCTTTATCCTTAGGAAATTGTTCAACGATCTCATCTTGGCTATATATTTTGAAACCATCTTTAGCTACTGCATGCTTTACCATCCCCAAACACAGTAATTCCCCAAATCATATTGATTCTTTTCTGAAATGCTCCCTTCTTTTTCAATCCTCATTGTCCTATCAGGTCAGTTCAGATTTCCAACTTGCCTATGAAAAGATGACATCCATGACTTCTTTTCCCCCCTTCTCTTTCTTGGTTTTCTAACAGTATCCCTTAACGTGATAAAGCTATCTACATGTTTGTCTCTGGACTAGATCTAAGTGTCTCAGTTTTAGTTTTCTCTCCTCCTGGTATCTGCTCAAAACATGCTTGTTGACTTCATGAGTAAGCTACCCCAGCAGGTAGAGAGACATAAATTCTGTCTTCTAAGATGAGAGCCTTTGCAAACAAGTCCATGGTGAGCACACTGGAGAGGTAACTTCATTTCTCTCATGAGTATAAAATACTTCTAACGCATGGTACCCTTTTCGTGAATGTGGCTTGATTCATGTGAATCTATGACATTGAAATACATACCCTTCTGATTTTGAAACATGACACTACAGTATATAATTCATCCATTCATTTAGTAATCATTTGTAGAAAACACGAAACATGTGGCAGGACTTTGATGAATATATTGAGTGCCTATTCTGTCCACACTCTCAGTCTAACGGAGTCACATAGACAAGTATACACTCATTAGGTAAATATAACAATTTAGTTATAGGTAATGTACTTTAGTGCCCTGAAATAGTTTTTTTCTCCAGAGGAGAGACCTCATGCAAGTGATGATGCAGCTCTTTGGACAATGTCCTGATTTTACAAGGGCTTTGCAACATCATTTTTATATCCAGCCTTCTGTATAGCACAGCCCCAGGTACCAACTGGCGTCCCCTGTCTCATGGAAAACTTTTTGGGCCAAGAATTGGAAAATCAGTGTGGAAATAATTGCTTGAATATCCATTTCCCCAAGCCTTGGTTTCTTTGCCTTTCCATGCAGGTTACAAGATGATTATGCGTGAACAGAAACAGAAGGTACATACTGACAGGAAACAAATGCACGTTAAACCATGGAGATTTCCTCTTACATAAACCTGCCATTTGTTAAGCAGTTGCTCTCTGTTCCAAAGGGAAGCTGGCAAAAACCTGAAGCAAACATTCTGCAACAGCACTGGGGAAGAATAAGTGAGGGAGACGCTTTTTTTAAAGAAAGCTTTGGGGGTGATATAAAGATGTAAGCCATTTTAGGAAGAGATGAATGATATACTCAAAGACTTCTTCAAACCTGGAGGCTACCATTGTAGAGCTTTCTATATCTGACTGTAGTTCTGATGAAGAGGGAGGTACCATTTTAATCTGAGAAAACACATTTATTTGGCTGACTATATAAAATTCTGAATTAGTATATATACATATATATGCATATATATACATATATTACACATATATGTATTTATAAAATTTCCCGCTATACTATACCCACATCTATTAGAAAAATAAAATTGCATTATTTAGAAAATCAGAAATAGTTTTCAAAACTGACTCATTATGAGAACAAATATCATATCTGTTAAACTTTGTGTAGTTGCAAAAAGCCTTAACCTTGGACTTGGAAGATGGTGCTTCAAGCCTCCATCACATTATCTGGGAGATCACTAGGCTGCACGAAGCCTCCGTTTCTCTTCTGTCAAAAAAGCAAAACGAAAAGTATTTTCCAAGGTAGATATATAAAGAATAAGTGAGCTATGTCCTAGTTCAAAATAAGAATAAACTCTCATGATTGGTATAATGATTGTGTTTTACATCATTTAATGTGAGATATATTTTACTCTGTATAACTGTAAGCCCTGAGTTTACTTGTGTTGCTATTTCTTGCTTTTCCAGGAACCTTGTTTTACACACCGCCCCAGAGTTTCAAAGTACAGAGCTGCCTACTTTCTGCAGTGTTGCTCTGAACAACACTTTCAGGCGCCACTCTTTGCTACCAAGTTTTTAACTACCCGAAAGATAAACTTCCTCAGCAAAGGGCATTCTTCATTTATTTTCTCACTGTATCATTTAAAAAATTCATATAAATCGCTGTTGGCCAATTTCTTCCACAGTTCCTCCACTTTGCTGTAACTAAATTAACTAAAAGGAAGTAACTAAAGTTTTTCAAGTGATTCCTTTTTTTTTTTTTTTTTAAATCTTCTTGTTGGATTATTTTAGCGCCTTCGTTTTCGGGATTTAGTCACCTATTTACTTACTCAGTCGGAACTACTTGGATTTCATGTTTTCCCCTTGCTCTATTTGAAACATTTTTGAAAAATAAAATGAACACTAAAACTTAAAGAGATAGTTCCTCACAGATAGTGCCTGTTTCTCTCTCTCTCACTTTTGAAATTTTCTATTAGTACAATATTTTGTAAACATACTAGAAAATCATATATTATGGATGTAACTGAGCTTACCAGCATTTGGTTTATACTTTTTATCAATGATACAGGGGTAGGAGTTAAATTCTCCTTCCTATACACTGAAAAGCCACTGTGGTTGGCTATTTTTTTTTATAGGATGACGAAGACCATGGGGTTCCTTTCTCTGCGGGTCCTTTAAAGCTTGATTTTTGAAAGGCTTTCCCATTTTCCTTGCTGTTTTGAAGGGATGTCTAGTGAATCCCAAACACAATGTCAAACCACAGAAAGACTTGAATTGTTCTGCTCTTGGATTATGTATTTATTTTTATTTCCAGAGATTCTGCGTTTTATGTTTATATAGGGTGATTTCCTCTTCCTTTCACTCCAATGCTTTACTAATGGCATAGTGTTAGATTATTAAGTGCAGCAGATATAATAATAGGGGTTCTAAATTAGAGTGATTAGAAAGTCAATCAGTTAACATTAAAAGTGCCTCTATTTGTAGAGCCTTTAGTCCCGATAGCATTCCTAACTGAATGACTTTATCTAAGCACTCCCTACCCCCACCCACATGTCATAAGGCACAGAAGTAGTCAAGCAGCTACTAGCAGAAACCTGTCCAGAGGTTAGCCCAGTGTCCTGCTGTACATTGTATCCTCTCATCAGTAAGATATTCTTTTCTTGTCACTACGGAAAAAGCCAAAGATATTTAATTTTTTTTTATAAATGTCTGTGAATGAAAAGCCAGATTCCTTCCAAGATACTGTGTATTCCTCCTACGTCTGTCCTAAATAGACAGCCTTAAAAATGATAGAAAGTGGGCCGGCCGAGTGGCGCGATGGTTAAGAGCTGGCTTGGGATGCCAGAGGGCCCTGGGTTCGGATCCCACATATGAGGGCCAGTGACACTGCCCTCCGCAGCTAAGATGCTGAACAACAGCTCAACCTGGAACTGGGCTGCCTTGAGTCGCCGGCGACGGCGTAGGCTGCAGTCCCTGTGGCAGTGGGTTGCCATGGGCTACCGTGTGTAGCCAGCGGCCAGCAGCCTCAGTGAGTGGCCATCCAGAAGCCGGTGACTGATCTGCCTCACCTGGGAAGAGTGCAATGATGGTGCCAACATGGACCAGTGAAGCAATGTCCTCCACTACGAGACTGAAGAACAAAATGACAACAACTTGTCGGCTCCCCTTCCCCCAATTCCCCAGTGCTGTTCCCATCCCCCCAATTCCCCAATTTAAAAAAAATCTTAAAAAAAGTGATAGAAGGAAGTCTGTAAAAGCTAAGGCAGCCTCAGCATCATTAGGGAAATGCAAATCAAAACCACGATGAGATACCACTTACCTCCCACTCGAAGGGCCACAATAAAAAAGACAGACAATAACCAGAGTTATTGAGTAAGTAGCAAAATTGGAACCCTCGTCCACTGTTGATGGGAATGTAAAACAGTACAGCCACCTTGAAAAAAAGTTAAACTTACATTTATCATATGACCCAGAAATTCCATTCTTAGGTACATCTCCCCAAGAGAAATGAAAACGTATGTCTACACAAACACTTTCACCAGGATGTTCCTAGCAGCATTATTCATAATAGCCCAAAGTTGGAAACAATCTAAATGTCCATTAACTGTTAAAAAAAATATAGCATATCTATGCCATGGAATACTGTTGGCAATGAAAACGAACAGAGAATGGGTACCTGCTAAGGCATGGATGAACCTCAAAAACTCGTTCGTTTGAAGAAGCTATACAAAAGAGACCACATATTGTATGATTTAATTCATAGAAATGTACAGTAAAAGCAAAATTTATGAAGACAAAAAGTAGATTAGTGGGTGCCAAGGGGGGGGGGAGAAACTGGGGAAGGGAAGAAAGAACAAGGATTAATAGTAAACATGCATGAAAGATCCTAATGTGATGATGAAAATATTTTAAAATTGATTCATGGTAATGGATGCATAACTTGGCAAATTTACGAAAAGAATCATTGAATCATACACTTGAAAGGGGTGAATTATATGATACACAAAATATGTTGAAATAAAATTATTTTTTTAAAGCTAAGAGGGTTGGTGTCAGCATCTATGAATATTTAAGCTGGGCAATAATCTTGTTAGACCCTCTCCATCACCAGTAAATAGGACTTGAATTATCTCAAGAGTGATAAATAAAGACTATGGAGAGTATTAGAAATAGTAAACTAATATGCAAGTTTGAACAATTCTTCTTATTCTCTACTTCTTCAAAACAGCAGGTAATTTGCAATCTGATTAAATCCACGTGTGTGATCCATAAAATTCAGAAATAAAATAAACAAAATGCAAAGTGGCATATTCTTTCCACTCCAGTCTCTAAAAAAAATACAAATGAAATAATATTTTTTAAATGTCTATGAATCAATAAGGGAAAACAAATTTTCTGCTTTTGTATTAAGCTCTCTGCTCACCAGATTCCTCTGCCAAAAGAGTGTTCTATTTTTACAGCCCATGCTACTTTTTTTTTTTACTGTAGCTCAAGGAAACATGATGTTTTATTAATAAAAATCTATTTCTGATATTAGAATTATTGATGATGTTTACACATACCTTGAACAATGTAGTTCTTTCAGATATTCATCAACCAGGAATCTCCTTTTTTTTTCCTTTCTGGCCAGTGAAGGCAATATAAATATCATTTTGTGAGGATGTCAAATTTTTCTTTTTTCTAGAAAAATAAGAAACCACAAGACAGATGGGTTAAGAAGAAAGTCAGACACAGTGTCAGTTGCCAAAAGAAAAAAAAAAAGACAACATCTTGTCCATCAAAGAGTTCAGATCAAGAGCATTTCTTTTCTCAAATGATGACAGCTCCAGAGCTGTGAGCTACCAGAAAATAAATAAGCAAACCTACTGAAGGTGTTTCTCCATGGCTTCTACTGTAATGTCTGGTATAGATAAATATGTCATTTTACTAGGAGGATTACCTGGGGGAAAAAATAGCTACTGCAGACAAACTAAAAAAAGAAGAAAATTGATTAAGGGCATGTCATGCCCGTTACACTGGGATGAACTGTCATCATGTTCTTCTGGGTGCTGCTGACAAAAACGTCCAGAAAGAATAATATACCTTCAACAATATAAAAGGATCCAAAGTACAAATTTATAATCTTCACCTGAGTAGCTTCAGGACAACCGACATAGCTGCTCTCAGTTGAAAATAGACCCTGGTTGGTATTCTGCGTTCATTTTTCTCAAACAAGGGTTTACCCGTTAGATGTGGTGAAATCAAGTTTGTGTGATCTTTAATGGCCTTTTTACAGCCAGGAAGACCTTGTTTTTCAGGCTTCAGGAAACTGTTGATAGAAAGAAGGAGGTTGGAACTGTGAATAGATCTACCGGACCTGCGAGTCATTCATCACCCATGCACAATAGTATCCCAGATGGGAGAGAGTGGAGGGTGGGCACATTTAAGGAGGTGTGAACTTTGAATGGACAGAAAAACACAGATCTCAAGGTTTTGAGATCAACTTCTTAAACTGACTCAATGAAAAACTATTTTATCATCGATATAAATATATATATATATAATATGTATTATATATTTTATATATATATACATAATTTTCCATATTACTCTCAGGTTTTAGGATAAGGGTAGAGACTAGGTTGGAAGGGACTGAGAAAATTTGCTAATTGGCCAAGTTCCTTGCCAATGCGTTATAGGATGTGTTTAAGTATAAGAACATGTTGCGGTCTATTTGGAAGAGAATCAGGCTGAGTTTTCTGGTATCAAATATGTTCCCACCTAACCAAGCATTTAGGGAAGCCACTCAATTTCCTTAGGCCCCAGATGTCTCATCTCATAGGTGATAATAATTTCTGGCAAACTTGCTCTCCATGGTTTTGTAAGCATAGAATAAAATGATAAATGTAAGAGAAAGGCATTTCTGTAAGCAAAGGTGTCATTCTTATTTAAAAATGAGAGTGTCTCCTCTTTAACCCCTTGGTTTGCTGGAGGATGAAAGCCAGGGTAACTCCTCTAGGAAATGATTGGGTTCTGGTTTCCATTTCTTATGTCATGAGGGCGATAAAGGGCTGATCTTTAGATGTGACGAGTACAGAGTCCTAGGCTTGGGCTGGGGTTTGCAAAGCCTCATTAATCATGCTCCATTGTGTTATAGGTTCTGTAAACATTGCAAACGCATCAAGTACAGCCCTTCTATTAGTGACATCTTTCCAACCTAACTCCAGGAAGCCTTTGAGATTTCCTTAAATGACTGGATTTCATTTCAGTCATTAGTTAACCCTGCCTAGTGGGTGACTCTGTGTCCCACCAGGCAGGAGTAAGGGGATATGTATTCAAACAGTACAAACATGGCTTGTCCCAGTCACATAACCATTAAGAACAGCAGGGGGGCTTTCCTTTCTCAGGATAAGTCAAATCATTTATGTGAATCCCATAATATTCTTTTTTATTTTTTATTGCCTCTGGAAACTAATGCTATGAAGTTGTAGTTAGAAAAAGAATGCTGACAATCTTTCCTGTGGATATTGTGGGTGAGATTAAAAGGCAAATATTATTTCTTACAGATTTATACGTTATACTAGCAAAGTCTTTTTAGGTATGAATGGGCTGCTGTAGGCAACTAAGAAGCCAGGCCACTTTTGGGACTATGAATCAGAGGACATTTGGTGCTCACTAGGACTCATCTACTCAAGGTTCCTCCTTATATTTTGGTTACACTTAGCTTCCAAAGT